ATATTTGTGCCGAAAATGATCATATGATCAAATGCTTTTGCATAGTCTATGAAACTTAGCAGTCCATACTTCTGCTTGTGTATTCTTCGATCTGACATCAATCTCTTCATAAATATTGCATTTCTTTTCCAGTGTCTGTGATGAATCCACACTGTTGTTGTCCTATTGCCGATTTAATTCTTCTGCACCCTCTTCCAATCTGAATCCAGCTGATAAGTTTAGTTAAGTCGCTCATTATGCTGAAGGTGAATGGGCGCGTTTGTTTCTGGTCATGAGATCTGGGTTCGAATATCTACGGGTGAGGAGTTCTTGATAATATCGGCCTGGTGGTGTGATGACAGCGCACGGCATCGTTTGAAAATGACTGAAAACCATACTACGGGTTAACCCAAACCTTCTGATTAAATTATATAGTCGCAAGTCATCGTGAGCGAGGGTTTGGACTTGCTGGCCTTCTTAAAAATATTGACAATGCCAGATTATGAAACTCACAGAAACTTTTACTAAGGTCTGCTCAGCTTGGAGTATAAACCACGGGTGGACATTGTGGATACAGCAGGCGTCTGTACTTATGATTTGCTAGCCGCCATGGTTGACGGCCATAGATGCCGATTGTGGGGGTCTCATTCATTTGCACCTGCCTTCTCGAGTAGCGCTACTGAGGTTGATCTACTAAGATAATCCAGTAGGTCGCTACTGGTGTATATTTATTATTTCCGAAATACTAATAGTTATTATCGGTACTTTCTAGATGAAGCATTTTCACCATTGCTGCATTATTACTAGTTATAATATATCTTAATATAGTTGAATTATAGATTAAGCATTTTCTTAAATAGCCTTGTCAGATCGAAACTTTCATATAGATGTCCTGCATGGCGCTGAAGTCGTTCAGAAATATGTAAACTGCCAGCTGTATTGCAACCGATTTCTCAGAGCAATGATTGAAAATGACTTCGATCGAACGCAACCTGTAGGTTTTAGCAAAGACCATTATTCTTCAAGACTCATGGACGATGCTGCTGAATAACAAATAAAGAATTGTGCCAAATAACAGAAACGACTTCTGTTGTGGACATTCAACAACGAAAACAACTAAAATGTATAGCAGAGGTAATAGGAAGAGAAATTAATGATCAATAATTAAAAATGATTTCGAACGAATGCAACCTGTAGGTCTTAGGGGGGACCATTCTTCTTTAAGACCCATGAACTAGCGCTGCGGAATGCCAAACAAAGAATTGTACCAAATAACCGAAACGACATCAATTGTGGACATTCAACAACGGAAACAACTAAAATGTATAGCACAAGTAATAGGAAGAGAAAGTAATGACACAATCAAGATGTTGACGTTCGACATGACTTCAAAAGAAAAGTTCCGAAAAGGTGACCCCATCTCGAGATATTAATGATAGTTCTACTTGGGCTTTTTTATGTGTCTGCCGTGTCTGTTAACGTTCTTTGAATTTTGAACCTAACCCGTTAGTCAATCCACGGAGATAGATTCTTCTAATTGCGCTTTCTTTGCTTAGGGGAGATAACTAATATCTTTAAGGAATCACCGGTTTTATTCACTTCTGCGTCGCTTTGTCTGTTTCTTTTCAGATTATATCGTTTCTCAGCATTACCAGAAACCAGAGATTCAGATCCGAACTGGCAGGGAACCGGATACGTTTTAATCCAGTGCCGCATGTGTTCAAGAGATATTCATATTTTCTTCGAGCGTATGGAGCCTGTAGGTCTTAGAGAGGATCATACTTCTTCGAACAACGTGGACTGGCATTTCAGAATCACAACCAACGTTATTAGATAAGAGAAACCTCGCCATTTGAAGGCTTTCAACAAGAGCAGCAACAGATACAATAGAAAGCTCGTGTAACTCGAAGAGAAAATAATGACATAATCAAGATATTGATGTTTTATGCTCATTAAATCAAAGTTTATGAAGGAAACTCCCATCAATACTGGAAAAAGCGATAACACTTACTGCACTTAAGAAACCCATTTTCCTGAAAAATTGTTTTAAGAGAAAGATTTTATGAATTTCAACTAACAGCTCGGTCAATGAATGCTGCTTTCATTATAAGGAAATGGTTAATATGGTTATTATTATTATCGTTTGTAGTTTCCATGGAAATAAATTGGAGGCATCATTTTCAGTTATACTTAATTGCAATCCTCCTCCTTTGTATCATTAGACTCCATGTGGAGCACATAGCTACTAGTTGTTGCTACGACAATCTCCGTATGGTTTTACGGACATGGTTGCTAGACGAAACCCAGCCGGTTTTTAATCCTAAACTTAACTTTTTTCTTGACCAGGCTAGTGAGCTCAGTTTACCCTGTGTGACGCCCCCCCCCCCGGGTGTCGCCGCTCCTCTAAACGTGACGTCCGCCTGTCTGCGTCGGTCGTGCTATCCCGTCCTGTGACGACCAACTGGCTTGGTATTGGTCGCGGCACCCAAATGTGATTCGGATGGGAATCTGGTTAGATTCGATATCAGCCTCGTCGTTCCCAACTCGCCTCCAACGTCTGGTTACCGAAGTAACTACTTTGATTTCCAGTCTACCTACCCACGTTGTGAATTGATCTTAGGCGGACGAAATCAATCAGTCGTCGGGGCCGTAATGCAAGTCGAGTTCGAATAAGGGCGATATCGTACAAATAGATGTAAAAGAAAAGAAAATAACAACTCGAAAAGTTCAAATGTGTTAAAAAAGGATAACAATATTTTATATCTGGTTTCTGGATACAGGACTGCGTCTATTTCCCAACCCGCTATATGGATACGTGACACGTTGTTTTTGTTAGGCGATTCTTAACATCTTAAGTTGTCTGTTCTTGGTGTGTCTTCAGGCGATATTCGTAAAACTTGTTTTGGTGGTATGAGTCTAAGTCGTTCTTCAAAAATAAATTGTTCTTGGTTAAAAGATGAGTTCGGAATTGCGTGAATCTTTCAAGTCAGCTATCTGCGAGGCTCTGCCAATTGCCAATTCCAACCGGATCTGGATCTGGAACTGCCCGAACTGATTTTCGCTCGCTGCGACTTTGCTTATATGGACGCCGACCCAATCGCAGCTCTTACCCTCAATGTCACCTGTTACCTATCAATGAGATTTTCGTCAATTATCAAGTGGGTGGTCATCTAGCGAAACACAGCCAACATTTCGGTCCGATAAGGTAGTTTCGCTATCCTAGCCGTATTTGCATTCTTGGTGCCAGTTTCTGATAAAATAGTTTCGCTGTCATAGTCAAATTCCAACACAACCCAGATGCCTTGTTCAACGACACCCTCCCATCGATAAAGACTTAACCTATGGTTGGGTTTTCTTTGTTTTCGCAACTCGTGTGTGGTCAACGGACATTCTTATTTCTCGGTCAACGGATGACCTATTAAATCTTTATCTCTTTAGAACTCTGTGGAAGCCCCAAATGGCATTCCCGTGACACAGTTAGATGTTTATCTATTTAGAATTCTGTCTCTGAGGTTATTTGGCCAACCTGGAATTCGTCAATTACCTTTTCGCCATCACCAAGCGGTTGGCCCATTAGACGCTTTCACATTCTGGCGTTATCTATTCCCGATAATATAAGTTCGCCACCATGACACAGTTAATTTTTATCTATTTAGAATTCTCGACAATGGCAATAAAAATGTTCACCATTTTTCCTTGTCAAAATAACACCGCTTAATGTCCCTTTCGTGATGGCTTTTTTTATCATCTAAATTTAACTCTCGCCTTTCTTTTTTTTTTCTTTCTTTCCTTTTTCTTCTAGCAACCCTAAATGGTGTCACACCTGTGATTTAATCTATAGCTGCGGCGGTGATAAGAGACGGATTGATATATTTCCCAGCGGTAGTAAAGAAATTGGCCAAAATTAGAATTCAGCACTTTCCGCGCTGATAACCGACATGCTACGCACATATCAAATATTTAGATTACTTATCTTGATTTATTTGCATCATTACGGTTGTACGGACTTCGGTAAAAAGAATGCCGTCCCAAAGTTGAAAAAAGAATCGGGTGAAAGCCCGTGGGGTAACATCAGTTTTCACCAAAAATGCAGGTTCTTTCATTCAAATTAATTTCTTATATACTCCGTACTTTATACGAATTTAGGGACGAACTTATAGATACTAGATTGGCAATTAGGTCCCACCCTTTTACTGATGAAATAACTAAATGCAACCGCCATCAGTTTCTTTTCTCTCGCTTCTCACCTGTGGAACTCCCTTCCGTTTACTTGCTTCCCTGATAATTACAATCTTCAAAAATTTAAGTGCATCGACAATCGCTATCATCTATCTTATTAAAACCTGGTCATTTTTTTTTGTCTTTTCCTCAAGTTTCTCTATTCTCAGTCTTCTCATTCACTTTCACTCCCTATAACCCCCTACATGCTAGTGGCATCATTGTCTACTTGAAGTGAAAAGATAAAAATTGTTTACGAAATGAAAAAATGGTCATATCAGAAATATTTTCCATCTCTGTCTTTTTTTTCTGTATTTTTTTTCAAAAAGACTTTTGTAAAGATTCCTTTTTTTTTTTTTTTTTTTTTTTTTTTTTTTTCATAATAGACAACGTTCCAGCTAAGGATTAAACTGCAAAGTGAATTCTATCGGCTTGGATGGCAATCTGTCTAAATGAAGAAAAACTCTAAATTATAAACCGTGGAAAATTCATCGGAAAACTATTGTCTGTCTCTCAAGAATTCATGAGAATTCGCAGATGGGGAATGTGTGGAAAGTCATGATCTTCAATGTCGTGAAGGAACATGTCATTTTAAAAAGAATGAATCATAAATCCAAGTGGCAGGAAGGATGAACGACTTTAACTGTTTTTGCATCAACGATGGTCTTAGGAAGGAAGCTGATGAACAATAGACAAGGCAACGACAGTGGGCCATCAAGTGAAACTTGAACAGTCTACACATAAAGAGAGTCCGAGTGACGAACTTGTTATATAGTAGGCCCGAGAAAGAATTACACATTTACGAAGTAAAAACACTAGTAGAAAGAAAGAAAGAAAGAAAGAAAGAAAGAAAGAAAGAAAGAAAGAAAGAATAGAAAATGAGAAAAAAGAAAGGGAAAATGATAATAAGAAAGAAAGAAAGAAAAAAAGAATAGAACATGAGAAGAATACAGGGGAAAAGATAATAAGAAACAAACAAAAATGAGAAAAAGATAGAAAGAAAGAAATAAAGAAAGAAAGAAAGAAAATATGAGAAATAAATCAAAAAGAGAAAAAGAAAACAAAAAATAACCAAAGAAGAAAAAGAGAAAAACAAAGGGAAGAAACAGAAAATAAGACCCATTAAAATTGGAGAAAGAAAGAAACGAAACGAAAGAAAGAAAGAAAGAAACGAAACGAAACGAAACGAAACGAAACATGAGAAAACAGTGGGAGAAAAGCACAAAGACAATGAGGAAAAGTAAAGAAAAATGAAAAAAAGAAAGTAAAAGAAAGAAAGAAAGAAAGAAAGAAAGAAAGAAAGAAAGAAAAGGACAACGAGAAAATAAACAAAAAAGAAAATGAGAAAAAGAAAGGCTGGATAGCCAAAATAAGAAACATTAAAATGGAAAAATGAAAGAAAGAAAGAAAGAAAGAAAGAAAGAAAATAATACGAAAGAAAGAAAGAAAAAGAAAGAGAGAGCTACAAGAATATTGATTAAACGTGAAGTGACCGGAATTTCATAATCGATAAAAGAAAAATAAGACTTATCGATACTGAGTGGCAGCGATTTGGAAAAGAACACCAAAAGAATGATGGCGTAGATAAGAGGAGCATTTTCTCTGGCATCCACCTCGTGCTTTACATGCGAAGAACTTTTAAGTTCCTTTAAATCGAGTGTGACCTTTCTTTTAGACCGATCCACATCAAAGAGGACCAGCGAGAGCTTAGGCCGCATCCCTGTGCTCTGGCGGTAGAAGAATGACGCTCTGGAGGCGAGTGCCGAAGAATCATTACGATTACGGTTACTCGAAGACTTTTCTCCCGCCCGCAATCAGGTTTTAACCAAACGACTTAAAATGCTTTGTTTTGCTTGAACCACAAAAATCCCATTATATGAAGGAATTTTCAAAAGGCTTGCAATAATATATATCTATATGTGAGTGTCCATAGTAGAAGACGCTGTGTGTAAACAGCGTCTGAAGTGTTTTCGAACAGCGGTAAAAACGGTGGTGGTGGTCTATTGTAATCTGAAAAGTTAGAGCAGGTACTTTTCGAAGATGAAATACTGGATTATTTATACCGTCGTCTTGATCTTTATTTGTTCAAGTTTTGTACGTGGCCAACAACGAGAGGGCTGTGTGATTAAAAATATTTAGAAAACGCTACTTGGTCTGATGTAAGATCCAAGGCTGGTGTAAGGCCCAAGTCTGGTCCAAGATCTAAATAAGAAGACTGTGTAGAGACGAAATTCCTGCTGAGAGAATCAGCATTCGATAGTATGACTTTTAACTAAATATCGATCCCTTGTGTTGATAGCAAATACGGATTTACATCACCCACCGCTGAATAGCTAAATCTTAAACATTTATTAGTGTGCGACATGATTTCAATAGTAAAAAACTCAAAGAAGTTAAAAGTCACAATCCTTTCGTTTGACGAAGGAGATTGCTAATCACAGGGTTACGTTAGACTTTACTGTAGTTTTTACATAATCTTGCGTGATCAACAGCTAGGTCACGATTATTATGACACTCGGTCACGATGACTTGTGACTTCGTGTTAGTACAACTATTGACGGCTTCCGAACTACTATACCGTCTACCAAAAGTTACTTAAAAGCTGCTGGTGTAAACATTTTCAGGTAAATTTTGATGGGCCCGCGCACTGGAATCCCTTCACCAACCTGACCAATCAACTATGATAATGTGAAGTCACCCCGGGGTCGCCGCGCCAAATGTGACGTCTGCCTGGCCGGGCCCGCCGTGCTATCCTGGGACGCGGCGCCAATTGTGACGTCACCCCGTCTGTCTCCGCGCCGTCGCCGTCCTATCCTGTCCTGTGACAACCAATGTGACTTGGTATTGATCGCGGCACCAAATGTGACGTTCTAACCTTTTGCTGATTCGGATGGGAATCTAGTTAGATTCGGCATCAGCCTTGTCGTTCCCAGCTCGCCTCCAATGTCTGGTTACCAAAGTGACTGTTTTGATTTCTAGTCTAACCTACCCACGTTGTGATTTGATCTTAGGTAGACGAAATCAATCAGTCGCCGGGCCGTAATGCAAGTCGAGTCCGGACAAGGGTAATTTCCGCAAAAGTATATGTAAAAGAAAATAAAGTAATAACTCGAAAAGTTCAAATGTGTTAAAAAAGGATAACAATATTTTATATCTGGTTGCTGAATACAGGACTGCGTCTTCCTCCCAAACCGCTAATATGGATTCGTGACACTTTGTGTTTGTTAGGCGAGTCTTAACATTTTAAGTTGTTTTTCGACAACTGGTTTTTGTTGTATTCCGGCGATATTCGCAAAAATGGTTTTGGTGGTGTGAGTCTAAGTCGTTCTTCAAAAATAAATTGTTCTTGGTTAGAAGTTGAGGTCGAGAATGCGTGGATCTTAAGTCAGCTTTCTGCGAGGCGGGTCTTTAGAGCTCACAGCTCAACTGCTACTGCTTGCCTGTCTTTCTAACCCCACCTGCAAAACTCAACTGCGAACTACTCGTTGCGACTCTGCTTATATGGACGCCGACCAAAAGTGGGGTGGGCCTGTCGGGTTCTGAGGTTCCTTGATAATTCTAAATCCTCATTAAGAATTTTCTTTGTTTTCGGTCAGGAAAATTCATTAATTTTCATTTTTGGAAGTCCTTAATTCTAGTTTAAGGGAATCGTCCTCCCAAATTCTTCCTTTCTCATCTTGGTATCTCATACCAATCCCTTCAGAGGCGTCAACAGGTTTCTCCTCTCTCTCACAGTGGCATCTCACACCGATCCCTTCAGGGGTGTCAACAGGCCTCCCCTCCTTCTTCATAGTTTACCTTCGCCTACCGCTCACGCCACACTTCAGCCAATGAACGTTCAACAGCGTGAGTGCGGCCGGACTGGCCTCGGTTTAAAAATCTCGCTCAAAGAAAAAAAAAATTATCTTCCCTTTTTTTTTCTTTTCTTTTCTTTCTTTTCGAGGAGACCTCACACGACTCTAATCTCTATCTTAACCGAATTTCGTCTGGAGTTCGTCAATGAGATTTTCGCCAGCATCAAGTGGGTGGTCATCTGGCGACTTTGCATTCTGGTGCCAATTATCCGTTCCGATAAAATAATTTCTATCATGTCTAGGTTTGGATAATAAAACAGGTGTTTTTCTTTCAAACCAATGTTATCTCCGACGATAGTTAATAGTTTAATCTATCTTTCTCTTTAACTTGTGGGTGGTCCAGCGGACATTTTTCACGGTCAGAGCATGACCTAATTAATTTTTATCTCTTAGCATTCTGTCCCGTAGGACACTCGGCCAATTTGAAACTTTCATTATTGCCATGGGCAGATGGCTATATCTTATTCGCCGCCCCGTAACATAAATTAATTCGACAGATCCGATATCTTACTTTCTTCGCTCATGAAAATAAAATCTTTACCACTTTTCTTTGTTAGAAAGAATAACATCGCTCAGTGTCTTTTCGTGATAGCTTCTTATTACCTAATTTAATTTTCTTTTTTTTTTTTTTTTTTTTTTTTCACGCAACCCTAAATAAGATTCGAACTCAGTTTGCATTGTCGGAAAATGAATCATCTAATCACTGGACCACTCGACCATATATATATATATATATATATATATATATCGGGTGTAACAGCAAAATTATCGGAATCGTGTAACAGCATGGGATAATTGTCCATCACCCAAAATGTTTAATATATAAATACACTAACCTAATTGAGCTTCTTTTTCCAGTTTTTCAGATAAGACGTTTAGCCATCTTGACACCATTTATCGTAAGAATCACTGAAGAAGCCTTTGAGTTATTCAGCTAGAAATATAACAGATTGAAATCGTTTTGTGTCAGACTGACAAAACAAAAATTCAGTAATGGTACCAACATTCATACTCTGGTTTCCATTTTCAAAGTTCATTCAAGAACAATCAAGAGAATGGTGAATATGTTTAAAAAAAGAAGGAACATTAGAGAGGAAAACCGGATCAGGAGGTCACAACAGCAAGAGGGATCATCATTTCAACTTAGAGTTATAGAGATCAATTAGAGAAGATCCTACTCAGTTCATAAGACGTTTGACACGTGAGAGAGGAGTTTCAGTTATGACAGTTCAAAGAGCATTGAAAAAAGATTGTAAATAAAATCGTACGTGAAACCTGTGTGGACAGAAAGTTAGAAGGTTAGAAAGAGCGAAGATCATCTTGAATAATTTGGAAAATGATCCTGAAATTATATATATATATATATATATATATATATATATATATATGAACTTTATTTCAATCCTTCATGAGCTCCCGATCTTTAGTTATGATTAATTAATTATGAACATGTCATTTTTTTGTTTATGTTCGATTTCATCACGATTCTTCTATTAAGCTTAAAGAGTAATTATATATTCTTCTACTCAAAGTAGAGTCCAATAATGTTATAAAAAACCTTGGAGAATTCCTGTAAGATATCTTTAATCATTTCTAAGTTACAACAGTTTAAACTTAATCTAAGACATGTACAATTTTACTTTTACAAGATTTGAACAATTTTGCTGCTACACCCCATATATTATGATTATGAAAAGCGTTTAGCCTAATTAGTCCTTCCTAGACGGGTGACTGTTGAGTAACATCGCGTATTGTAAGCAGTCTCTGGCCTTGTACCAAACTTGACAAATTAACTATGAGATAGAATCCTATCTCTTAGCTACCCTTGTTTATGCGGCACATGTCCCCTTAGCATTTGGGCGGTCATGACTCTCCACAGTCGCCTGTCTCTGTTTTCGTTCAAATTAACCTTTGACTACTTACCATCCAACATTGTCTCACTTCTGTCATCTATTCACACACATTTCTTAGGTTGTTTACTATTTACTCTCTTATCCTTAGCATACCTTGTGGGTGTTAAATTCTCCATGTCATCCTTCCTCATTAGCTTATCCCAGAAATTTCAGCTGGCTCTTCAATATCAGTT